ACAGACAGACAGACAGACAGACAGACAGACAGACAGACAGACAGACAGACAGACAGACAGACAGATAGATAGAGTTTTAAAATGACAGTTTTATTTCATTTGTGTACTTGTGCAGCACGATGTGGCCCTCTGGTAGTGTCAACAGAACAAATAATTGTGGCCCTTTCTGCCATTTGCCCATCCCTGGTAGCCTGGTAAAAACCAGACCTTGAGCGGAACTGTGTAGGAAGGCAAGGGCATCCCTGCATCCCTGCTCTAATTGTTAACTCTAAATTCTCTCTAGATGAGAGAGTAAACAGTTGTTTGTCTCTTATGCGTCCCTGTGATGGGTTTTGTAATGGAAATAATACTTTTAGGTTTAAGCCAGTAATTCATGACATACTTTAATGGCCTAGGTTCTCATGACATGCAGTTTGTCAATAGATAGCATGATTTAATGAATGAATTGAATGAATTTGTTCATTTAGTCGGGACAGTGTGCAATTAAAACATAAACCTAAAAACATTTGATGCATTGCACCAGATTTAGCCTAAGGCTAATTTACATCTGTAGTCCCTTCAGACAGTAAAAACAAAAACATCCAACAGTACTAGAAACAAGATAAAAAACAGAAAAATAAAATATAAAATAAAACATTTTGCAATAAATAATAAAATACATAAAACCCCACCCCCACTCTCCAAACATAATTAAAATTGCTATATCACTGAACATTCAATAAAAAATTTGTGATTGCAGTATTAAGTAGATTTGAGATATTCCGCATGATCACCCCAGAAACCAACCAAAGAACTGCAGGTCTCCACATCCCCACCTGAAAAACATCTGACACATCGTACCCAATCCAACGACAGGGCAATCCGACATCTACATTTCCACCAGACAACAAACATCACCGATAAGCAACAAAAACATCCCAAATAAAAAAAATACATACATACATTTAACAAATGTAATCATGCCCACCTCCACCCCACCCTCTAACMCACACAACCAGAAGCAAACTACAATCAATTACCCAGTGCAATTCAGTGATTGCAACACTGACTAGATTTAAGATATATTTTTATTTTTTTAAAGTCAGAACAAGATTTGCTAACAACAATCATTCTTAGATATCACTTGTGTTTATCTTTGTGTTTTCTCTTGACCTAACATTTCCTTAGGATGAAATCTTGCTTTATTAAGATGACATAATAGTGTTTGTTAAACAGTATATATGAGGCCTCAACTGCCTCAGAGAAGCAGAGACAGGAGCAGAGAGCAGGGGGACAGTTTAATGTCTCTGTTGTTCTGTGTTCCTGTTGTTGCAATAAAACTCAGCTGATTGGAGAACCTTCATTCTTGGACCACGTGTCTTTGTTAAATAATTATTTCCACAACAGGTTTAGTGACACCTTGTGTTTGAAAACTGAACTGAGTTCTTTCTTCTGCACAAACAGAAGCCTGGAGGAGCTGTGGAAGGATCCAGTCATCAGAAGGTGCTGATGTGTCAGAACCCTGAACTTCTGAAAGTCTTGCAGAATCTAATGCCTGTGATGTAACAAAATGAAATTGTTTATTTKYAAACAAATCTGAAGAGTAGTTTGACAAACATTTTGTTTTATGCAGTCGATACACTGAAGCAACACTGATTACATTATGACCTACATCTTTATCAGTGCTGCCTGAGCTCCACATGAATACGTTCACTATTTAAACACTGTTTGACATATTTCACAGTAGAAACGCTTATCGGCTACTTTACAGTTAATCAGAGACAGTCTTTTTATACTTTATGCTGTTTTATTCACATTGACGTCTCTTTCTCTGAAGCCTTTATTCAGCTCCAAGTTAAAATACTGAAAAAAATCAAGATCTGAGATTTGGATATTAATAATAATAAATATTATTAT